AGTTTGTCTCAAATTGGTGCCATGTTCCTATGCCTCTTTGGAGGTGGGGAGGATATACATCCTCCTAAATGACAATTAAGAGTGCAATAAGAACTCACTTGTACTTAGGACAGCAAATCAGCACACATAAACAAGTACTCCGGTCAGCTGACATATCCTGGTCCTCTGGTGCTTACAGTCTTTATCCCTGCCACCCCCCTCTCCACCAAAAACTCAACTCAGACTCTTGCCACGTCCTGTGTGTTTCTCTACAGAGCAGCCTTTTTTATTTTTTTTTATTTATTTATTTTTTTTTTTTTTTAGACGGAGTTTCGCTCCTGTTACCCAGACTGGAGTGCAATGGCGCGATCTCGGCTCACCGCAACCTCCGCCTCCTGGGTTCAGGCAATTCTCCTGCCTCAGCCTCCTGAGTAGCTGGGATTACAGGCACGCGCCACCATGCCCAGCTAATTTTTTGTAGTTTTAGTAGAGACGGGGTTTCACCATGTTGACCAGGATGGTCTCGATCTCCTGACCTCGTGATCCACCCGCCTCGGCCTCCCAAAGTGCTGGGATTACAGGCTTGAGCCACCGCGCCCGGCCTACAGAGCAGTCTTAATCTTCTTCATAGGCAAATCGCATCACATAACTCTCCTACCTCCAACTCTTCCCTGAGAAAAAGTCCCCCCCACCAGGTGTTAGTGATCAGATCCTCCCTCACTTCATCCCCTTTTCCAGCCTCTGCCTCCTCTCTATGCTGTAGTCGTCTTGGCTAGGGGTGGTTGTCCACTACATGGAAGATGCTAGAAATATGTAGAGATGTGTTTTGATTGATAGTTCCAAAAGGACAGGGAAGGGAGGACAGGGAGTGTCTTAGCTCTTTTGGCCAACTATAACAAAATACTATAAACTGCATGGCTTATAATCCCTGGAAATTTATTTCTTATAGTTCTGGAGCCTGAGAAGTCCAAGATCAAGGTAGATTCGGTGTCAGGTGAGGATCCATTCCTCATAGGTGGCATCTTCTAGCTACATTCCCACATAGTAGAAGGGGCAAATGAGCTCTCTAGGGTTCCTTTTACAGGGACACTAATCCCATTGCTGAGAGATCTACCCTCATGCCCAATCACCTCCCAGAGGCCCTATATTGTATACCATCACCTTACAGTTTGAGGTTGTGACATAGGAATTGTGGGGAGGAGCATGAACAGTCAGATCACAGGAGGAGGTTACTGTTTTTCCAGTCCAGAGCAGGAATGCCCAGTGTCTCGAATGTCTAACCAGAGGCTGACAAAAAACAGTCCAGAGTCCATGCACCCCCAGTCTCTCTAAAGTGCTTCCCATCGCCTCAGCAGCTCAGGTCCTGCACACCTGCTTGCTCCTGGCCAGGAATGTTCCTTCTCCCAACCATGCCCCACATTTCCCTTGTCCCACATGGCTACCCCCTATTCCTCTTTCAAGAACTTCAATATCACTTCCTGGAAGAAGATGCTCCCGAATTCATCAGACTAGGTTGTATCCCTTTATTACATAAACTCCGCTCACAGACCCTAGGACTCCGTGCACTGGTAATTAAGCAATATGTATGAAATTCCTGACACCATCAACTCTGACGTTAGGTAAGCCTCCAGAGGGCAAGAGAGGCAGAGCCTGGCTTGCTGATGTCTATATTCACTCTGCCCTCAGAGAGCCTCTTACCTCATAGAAAATGCCATAATCTCGGCGAACAAAGAAGCTCCTTTCAAAACATCCTCTCCAAACACAATCCCATTCCTGGGTTTAACCTTCCCTAAGCTGTCCCCTGGAATCTCTACCAGTAGTTTTCTTTCTACCCCTCACTTTATGAGACATGACAGGTTTATTTCCCAAATTGCTCTGATCATAAAATTCTCCTAGATCTAATTTCTATACTGACCCTTCAATGCTTAAACAGTTTCTTTCTATTTATTTATTTATTTATTTATTTTTCAGACAGAGTTTTGCTTTTTTGCCCAGGCTAGAGTGCAGTGGTGCAATCGTGGCTCACTGCAACCTCCGCCTCCCAGGTTCAAGCGATTCTCCTGCCTCAGCCTCCCAGGTAGCTGGGATTATAGGCCCTTGCCACCATGCCTGGCTAGTTTTTGTATTTTTAGTAGACATGGGGTTTTGCCATGCTGGCCAGGCTGGTCTTGAACTGACCTCAGGTGATCCACGCGCCTCGGCCTCCCAAAGTGCTGAGATTACAGGCGTGAGCCACCACACCCAGCCACATCCCAGTTTCTTAACTGCACACCCAAAGCCCCCTGTAATTCAGCTTTCACCTGCCTTCCTCAACTTCCCCATCTTCCACCCTTTAGGTGCTCAGTTTTCCATGCCTGCCCTGAATTTCCCCACTTTGCTTGGTTCTTCCTTCTGCTGGATTTCATGGCTAAACTTAAATATTACCTCCTCTAAGAAGCTATTAATAACTCCAAATGAAAGGCATCTCTCAGTCCTCTGATATCTGATAACATTTTATCTGTGGTTTACTTGAAACAGCTATTTTCTACCTTGTACTAGAGTTATTCATGTGCAAATCTGCTCTGGTTTGAATGTAGCCCCCAAAGTTCATGTGTAGAAATTTTGATCTCCAATGCAGTGGTGCTGGGGGCAGTGAGCTGATAGGAGGTGTTTGGGTCATGGGGGAACCACCCTCATGAAGACATTAACAGTGTTGTCACTGGCATGAGTTCCTTCCACTTTCTCTACCCATATCCTTCCACCATGGGATAAAACATCAAGTAGGTCCTAACAGGAAGCCAGCCTCCTGACCTGGGACTTCCCAGCCTCCAGAACCATGAGCCAAATACATTTGTGTTCACTATAAATTACCTGATCTGCGGTACTCTTATAGCAGCACAATATGACTAAGACAAAGTCTAATCTCCCTTTCCAGACTACAAACTCTTCGAAGAGGAGACCGACATTGATATATCTACTAACATCCTTAGACTTTACCATAGTGTCTTGAACAGAACAGGAACAAGGTTAATGAGCAATAATATAATGATTTTTTTCTCTGTACTAATAGTGAGAATTTAGAAATTAATTTTAAAGTATTCAATTTGTTAGAGGAAGTCAACTAATGACCAAGGGCACCAGTGTCCCTCTGTTGTTCTGATACACTTAATATTTGCAATTTACTTCACTTTCCACAGTTTCATTCAATAGGTTATTGTTTGCAACACAACTCAAAGAAAAGCCCTAAGCTGAAGGCTCAATAAATACAATGAAATAATGACACTGAGGATGATGGTGATTAAAAAAAAAAAAAAAAAGATGAAAAAAAAAAGCATCCCATTGGCTGGCTGCCAGGTAATTTGCCAAATTTGGAGGAATTAGATGAGGATAGCAATCTAATTTAAAATTCACTTGGTGTTGACTCTTAGATAAGTTGGCAACTGCTGGGAGTACCTCCTTTTAAACACAGCCCATGTTAGGTGAATGAATGGAATTACATAACGGAATCTGGGTCAACCATAGCAATTCTACCGTAAACTACAAGGCACCAACTGAAAGCATATGACCATAATTCAAGGATTAGAAAACCATTGTCTCCACTGAAGAAGGACCACATTAGTTCCTTTTGAAGCAGGTAAGCAAATGACCATCTTGTAAAGCTTCTGACAGTCAAAAGGTAAGCACTTCTGAGTTAGGAACACAGTAGGATGTCTAGATTGGAAGTGGTAAGGGGTCTTCTGATAATACTTGTGGCTAGCCCATGCTTGGTGCAGACTCTTCTTAAGTACCAAAGCCTGGGCTCAGGTACAGAGGACAATTGCTCAAATTTCTCTTATGCTCATCAGACATACTACTTCCCATCACTAGTCCTTCCTGCTACAATGATGGCTGAGTCTGTCACCAAAATATCACAGCTTCTGAAACAAAATCACATCCCAAATTCTTATACTTATGCATTCGTATTTACAAAACCATTTTAAAATAAATTCACTGAGTAAAGATGAATCACAAGAAAGGTTTCAAGTTAAAAGAAAATGATTTCACTAGAAAGCCCTTTTTTGGGATGGGGCTAGAAAGCATAAAATTGTATTCTCTGATTTAAAGACTTAGGGACCCTCAAAGGAAAAGGAGTCTGATGAAATTGAAAGAATAAGTCACATGGCATAAGAAATCAGCAATGCATGCATTTTCTCTGTCAGTATTTAATAGGTTAAAGAATATCAGTGAGGATGAATCATTTCTGTTTGAAGCATAAAACTCACTGACACAGAAACAAAGACGCTTGGAAACTTTATATTCTTGGTTCTTTGAACAATAAAGGGCCTGTCTAGTCAACATTTGGAGTAATTTTTCCCAGGGGGATTATTATTATTTGAGAGGGATGAAAGAGTAGCATTCTCATGATACATTTTTATTTTCTGAAAATAAAAATCTGTCTCTTTAGGAGGCCACATTCTGGATGTATTAAGGAGTGTGGAAAAAAACATGGGGTCTGCCACAGTTCTCAGACATCCTCTTCTAGCTGCAAAGACAAACACCAATCTGGAGAACTAGTTCTCAAACTCTAACTTCACAAAGTGTACATCAAGGACAGGACGCACTTTCAGAAAGCTAGGAATAAGATTCAACGCTTCTAAGATTTGAGTTATTCTGCAAATGGGGAGGGGAGGCTTGGAAATAAAAGCCCAAGTAATTAACAGAGAATTTCAAACCATGGACGAAAAGCATCAACATTTCATTGTAGTGCAGTGCTTTCCTTCAAGATCTCTGGCTCAAACAGTTTTTGCAAACTGAGGTGGGAATTCCTAGTACTCAAACTATGCAGTCAACTGGAAAGAAAATGGGTTTTCAAAGCCAAAACTGATGAAACTTAACAGCTATCAACCTGGGACTAGCTCTCATGATGCTTTGGGTATGTTTTTCCTCTAAAATGTGTTCTTGTGATCTCTCATTCTGCTGAACTGGAAAAAAAACTGCGAACGCACAGGCAGCAGAGCGGCTGCAAAGCTCCTTGTTGACAGGTGAAATCACACAGCCCTTACCATGCTCCAGAGCTTTCATGGGAAACCAGAAGAGGATGAGGGAGTGGACCAAGGCGTTGATGCAGTGACCCCAGAAAACCTAAGGGAAAAGAAACCAGGGGAGTCAGGAGCTGCCCAAAATGCTTGACCTCTGCAAAACTCTCAACAAACACCACATTGTGAAGGATCCTGGCCGTGCGCTGCTGCATGGTTCCAGGAGTAGCATATTATTCTTGAATTTGAAAAAGAAAAAAAACTCCACGAAAATCAAATATTTATTAATTTTCACATACAAATGACTGGATTACCTCCACATCATATCACTTCAGTTGCAAAGACCTAAGTACCTGCTCACATGTACACAGACCAACACAATCTATCCACATGTGAAAAATTCATTCTGATCAGTTTTCTTTAGCAGTGTAAGAGAGACAGCAACATTTTACAAACATCCAGAAAAAGGATATTAGGTCAAAATTGTTAAGAAGAGACTAAAACTGTGTCTCTTCTTAACAGTTCAACTGTGTCAGGGGCTGATGGGATGTCCTAAAAGCACTGAAAACATTCTACTTGTAAATTCTTACAAGGCATTCTCACTCTTTTGTTTTACCGCTTCAAATTCCTCTCATTAAACTTTTCCTTTTATTTTTTAGGATTTTAGATAATATGCATATTTGAAAATTCTCTTTATTTCAATGTTCAAGAGGTGAGAACAAAGAACACAAGGTTTAGTTTATTTTAAACTTTAGTTTCATTAATACATTGCCATCATCGTTTTAACCACTGTGATGATAAAACTATTAACTATTAAAGCCAGATTAAATTGATTTAAACATCTACAAGTTGTTGCTGGGAATTATCATATAGTTTGAGCCTAAGTAGTAGTGAGACAACAGAAAACAGTGGAAAATGTTATTGTAAGACAACGGGATTTCCCCTGCTTTAAATGTTCATTTTGCACCATCACTGACCTGTCTACCTAAAAAAAAAAATTCTTCAAAGTGCCTGCAGATAAGTTTCCAGGCATTCTCAGCTCTTACTTACTTCCTACCTCAAATGGCTGTAAATTCAAATTGTGTAGAAAATGGATTGATGTAAATATTGCAGTGAAAATGCATCACATTTTCCCATTACAGGTATTGATCGACTTACGACCTATGCAACTTACGACCATTCGACTTTACGACCACAATCGCTAGCCACGACTGCTCTGCGTCTGGCAGTGCAAACGTTGCCCAGCTGGGCGTACGACAGTGCAGACCAGCTTCCGGCAGCACTACCATCTCCGCGCGCATATAGCCTACTCAACTTACGACCAAATCGTGTTACGACCGGTCTATTGGAACCAATCGTGGTCGTAAGTCGAGCACTAGCTGTAGTGGAATCATAGTCAACAAGGATTGGTAAAATCCTCAGGTTTCTTTGGAGACGGGAGGCAGTAGAACCAATAAGGAGCCCTTCTGTTTCTTCCCTGCCTCGGATGTGACCAATGAGCCTCCCCAGAAAAAGGCGGCTGTGAGGGACATCAGGAGCATCAGGCTCAGAAGCAAGGCCCTGGGACTCTTCTCTCCTTGAGGCCTGAAGAAGTGACTCGCTCTGTCCTTCTCACTGACAGCCCAGGAACCACGCATGCAAATCATGACTACCACCAGCACACAGTGCTGGAACTGAACTGCGTGAGGGACCTCTGCCTATAAACTTCTGAATCCCCCCTGCACAAAGACATGAGGCAGAAAAGAGGCCGTGCAGCCATGCTCACATCTCTCCCCTCTGCGCCCAGGCACACATCTTTCTTTGGATGGGGTCACCCAAGCACTCTGCCACTTTCAGCCACAAATGGCATCTGTGTGGCAGACCCCTCTGCTGTCTGAGACTGCACGACCCCTTTAACATCCCATGCGGCTTCGGCGAGGGCTTGTCAGTATCACCTATACCTTTATTTTTTGAGATGGTGTTTTGCTGTTGTTACCCAGGCTGGAGTACAATGGCATGATCTTGGCTCACTGCAACCTCTACCCCCCGGGTTCAAGAGATTCTCCTGCCTCAGCCTCCCAAGTCGCTGGGACTGCAGGCATGTGCCACCATGCCCAGCTAATTTTTTGTAATTTTTGTAGAGACAGGGTTTCTCTATGTTGGTCAGGCTGGTCTCGAACTCCCGACCTCAGGAGATCCGCCTGCCTCAGCCTCCCAAAGTGCTGGGATTACAGGTATGAGCCACTGCATCTGGCCGCCCCCCCCCCCCCGCTTTTTTTGGTCTCCTTTCTGATTTTCTAGTCCAGAAAAACAAAACAAAACCACTGCAACTCATGTGATCCCTGAGTTCATATCTAGCCAATTTTACTCAATAGCTAAAGAAACATTTTATTTAAAATGACAAAACCAGCAACAGTTAGGTAAGCTCCCATCGGGCCTCCACATGGGGCTGCAGGACTGTGCAAGGGAGGTCTCTGACAGCAGAACCTGGGTTGTGGGAGCTGCTGCTCACACTGATGTCAGGGGCTGATGGGGAGAAGAAGGAAGGAGTCAACGTACTGGGATTGCAGCCCACGCAGCATGGACCCGTTGCCTCAGAAGGCGTCTTGAAGTCACGGGGCTTGTGAGTGGGTCACGTTCTCAGGGCTTCTCAAATATTCCTTCTTAACCTTCAGATATCTCATAGGCAGATGACTAGAATCAAACAGTCACGCCTTTCTGAGGTGACAATTCTGAGATCACACCCTATTTACCTTTGTGTTGAAGCCTTCGCCGTTCTGGGTGATTTTGTAGAGCTGGGGAAACCTGAGCATGCTCTCCTGAGTGCAAGACCTCTCAAAGATTCCCAGAGTGAAGGGCGGCAAAGCGGTGAAAATCTGCAGGGAGAACAATGAGCCATTAAGAGCAGCTCTTCCCATCCACAGGGCTGCAGTGCTCCCTTCTACCAAATGATGACTTCATTTCCAGTCAAGTCCCAACCTGAGATTCCATGATTCACAACTCCCCAGACACCCTCCAAACAAAGGAAATCAACGTAAGACCATTTTTACCTTAATCACTATAAAATGAATGCCCTGAACACTAAAAACATCATAAATTATCTGATTAGCCAAGATTTCTTGTTAAATTAGCAACTACCCTCCTTTGTAAAATGAGGACTGATGTGGAACCATGCCACAGTTAGCTTTGTGAAGTGTTGCTTTGTTTTCCGTCACGCTAGCTGAAGTACAATTTACAACTCTCCATCCTGACGTTACACTCAAATTTCAGGAAGCAAAATGTACTTCACCCATTTATTCATTCAACAGGCATTTACAATAAATGAATTATGGGCTAGATACTGTGATAAGCACCAGGCATGGAGAGATTTACACACAGAAGAAGAAAGAAGGAAAGGAGGCTGGTCCCTGACCTCCAGGAATGCCATCTACTGCAAAAGTGAGGGAGGGGAGTGGGGCAACAGGTATAGGGATAAGTCTATAGAAGGCAGGGCTCTGCAAAACTATCAACACCTGTGGCGGAGAGGATGCAGAGGGAGAAGGGAGAGTCACCACAGGATTCTTGCACCAAAGAGTATCTGACCTGAAAGGTATTGGATCAACAAGATTTGGCAAAATGATAGGGATGAGGGCCAGGAAGCATTCCCATGAGAGATGTACCCCTTACACAAAGCTTTGAGCCATGAGCATGCCTGTTTGGGGGTGTTGAACAAAGTTTACTGGAGGCCACTGTTTGGATTGAGCTCCTGTATGCAGCCCCAGCAGACCTCACCAAATCAGAATGGTCGTTACTTGTGCTAAGAGCTGGGTCAGCAAACTAAACTTGGAAACAGGCCAATTTTCCAAAAAACAGGAGATTCACAGCAGCCAGTTTACCTGGGTCCCAGAAAGGGCCCAGTTTACCTGAGACAGCAGGATACGGAAGTCCCCTCTGTTTAACTCTGTAAGGAAAGCCACTTTGAAACAACCAATCACTTTTTGGAGCATCTGATCTGTGAGGTATTGGACGAACAGGATTTGGAAAGATGACAAATCCTTGTTTGTTCTGCTTCTGTTTCTTTAGCCTCTCTCTGCCTGTTGAAGCTGGCCTCCTCTGCTCAGCTCATCAGAGCAGAGCACTCATTCAGTTTCATGGAATTAGATGTTACCCAATTTCAGAATGGCTAATACGAGCCAATTCTATCTTTAAATTGTTGTAATTTTGTCTTTTGATGAGGAACCTGCTAAGATCCACAGGATGGTGGCTGGCTGAGGGTGCAGTGGCAGGCAAGGATAGGAAGGAGATCAAACAATCTGCAGTGACAGTGAGTTCTTGGGCAAACGGTGCCTTGCAAGACCGACTTTCACTGTACTTTTCACTCTGTGTATTAGAAAGATAAAGCAGGAGCTGAAGAAGGTGCTTGGAAGAAACATGTCATTTTAACTCAGGGCATCTTGGCCCTGAGCATGGTTCACAGAGCCTGGGTCACTTGCTGCTGAGCATCAGCATCCCTCAAATCTCCACCCACAAACCGAGCAAGCTCTCAGGCCTGTGTGTCTCTAAGAGAATTCTGAACTCACACTAGCTATTTGGAGATGGAGTATGTGGCCAGAGCAAGCTGTTCCCACATCCATTGGGAACAAGCAATCAGGTGTGTGGTGAGCAGAGCCAGTGAAACTCTCATGCTCTTCCTTCAGCCCACAGCAGAATGGAAGGCAGCCTGGGATTTCAGTGTGCTGCAAAGCTTCAAGGAGAAATCCACAGGAGACTTGTTGCACTCACTTCCCTCACAACAACAAAAGTTGTCTGTTTTATGGCTGTACAGAGCTTTCCAGAAGCCAGATGCCCTGTACACTTTCTTAGTACCTACCCTCATCTCCCTTGCTCTGCATCAATGTGTACACGTGATATCGTGCCTACTGTTTCCACTGCAGTCTTTTTTTTTTTAAAAAAAAAAACGTTGAGCTTTTCCTTCTACCCATCTTCAAATTCTCCCCTGCCCTTCCTCACCATGCTATAATGAAGCCCAGCAAGCTACATATTTTCTACTCTGCCTATAGCATAACACACACACACACACACACACACACACACACACACACACACAGAGGCTAGGGATCATAACTTGTTTCGTAAAATGTTGACACTGGCCAGTCGTGGTGGCTTCTGCCTGCAATCGTAGCACTTTGGGAGGCCAACACAGGAGTTCGAGACCAGCTTGTGCAACACAGTGAGTTCCTGTCTAAACTGAAGAAAATAAAAAAATTAGTGGTTGTGGTAGTGTGTGCCTGTAGTTCCAGCTACTTGGAAAGTTGAGGCAAGAGGACTGCTCCAGCCCGGAAGGTTGAGGCTGCAGTCAGCTATGATTGCAACACTGCATTCCAGCCTGGGCAACAGAGTGAGACCCTGTCCCCTGCCAAGCAAAAACGTAGACATTATTCACATTCTTCTTCATCATGCTTTTCTTGCTGAACAATACATTACAGAAAGCCCTCCAAATCCCTTGGGTTTGAGGCTAATGCAGTCTTTTAATGCTTACATAATAATTCATAGTATGGATCTACCATATTTTTTTAGCCATTCACCCACTGACAGGCATTCATTTTCTTTCCAGTTCTTTGTTACCACAAATACTATGTAATACATATCTATACTATGTTGTAACATATAGGCTTTTTCTTTTATCTCTATGGGAAGAAGGCCCAGCAGTAGAGTTGTTTCGTAAAAGGATACATACATTTTTAATTTTACTAGATTCTGCCTTTCAAAGCATTTTGAAAGCATTTTCCTCTCCCATTGCAAAAGACAATCATAGCCTTTTCCCTATTTCCCTATCAGCAATGGTTGTTACATCGGTCTTTTAATGTTCTCCAGTCTTAAAAATTAAAGATGTTACTTCTTAATTTAAAAAGTTGCATTTCCCCAACTACAGTGAGTTTGAGCATGTTTTCACTCATTTGCTGGCTCTCTGGATTTGCATTTCTATGAAATGTCTACTCATGTCTTTTGTCCACTTTCTCTCCATGGTTTATCCTCTTTTTGAAGAGTTCTTCGAGTAGAACAGATATCAACTCAGTCTTTCTGTTATGAAATTTCATGCAAATGGACTCTTTGTCTATTGGTTTTTTAAATGGGTTCTTTTGCCATATAAAAGCTTTTAACATTTAAATGGTTGAGAAATGCTTCTGCGTGTCCAATGGTGGTTACGGAAGTTTCCCCTCTGAAAATTACATGTTTTCAGAAGTGCCTTGTAGGATTTTACTATTTTATTTTGCACATTTAAGTCTTTAATATATCTGTAATTAGTTTTTCTTTATAGGAGTCCATTTTTTTCCCAGGTAAAAAGCCAGTTGTAAGAACATAATTAATTAGGCCAAACTTTCCCCACTACATTGAACGATCGCCTTTAAGACTTATCGAATTCTCATGTATTACACATCTAGAATCTCGAACGGGAATGTAGTTCGAGAAACTCCAACTTATTTGTCAATAACAGTGACTTGGTTATGGTGGCTTCTAGTATAGTCTGATATTTAGCAAAAATAAGTCTACTTTTATGATCTTTTTGAGCATGCTTTACAAATTTATTCTCAGATACTTGTAAATTTCATTTATAATTTAATATGACTTTATTCAACTTCCCCCTTTCTTCCCAAAACATTCATTTGTTGGGATCACATATATTTATATATTAATTTTAGAAGAATTGAATCTTTTATGATACTAATACTAAGTCTTCCCACACAAGAAAAGAGTATGCTTTTCCATTTGTTCAGTAATACTTTTTTAAAAAAATGTAGGGACAGTAAACATTTTTCCTATACAATGTATAATTTTAATTGCTTTTTTGAAAGAATTATTGCTTCCTTTGCATTTCTAGGTGTCCATTGCTAGAGCAAAAAAAAAAAAAGAAAAAAAGCTATTTATTGCTAGGCTAGAAAAAGGCTATTGATTTTTAAAATATATTTATCATTTATCTGGTCACTTTATCAAATTCTCTTATAATTCTAGTATTTGTCTACTGGTATTTTTTTGTTTTCTAGATAAACAATCACATATGAATATATTTACATTACCATATTTCTGTGAGCATATTTGCATAAGTACAGAAATTGTTCACTGTTTTCCCAATATTTGTAATCTTCTCTGCAGTTGCCAAAAAATAGAAAACAATGATAAATTATATAGTGATGGCAGGCATCTTGATCCATTTCTTATTTTAAATGAAATCATTTCAGAATTTTACCATTTTGGGCAGCATGCTACTGGTTTTTGTAAATAGTCTGAATTCTGATTAAATGGCTTTTTCTATTTCTATTTTATTAAGAGTTCTTACTTTGGGAATGGCAGCTGAATTGCCTCACATACTTTTGTAGCATCCCCTGAGGGGATTGTGTTTTTCTTATTTTATTGATATAGTGATATTTAGAACAATGTTTAATTCTGAGCCTCCTGTAATCCTAAAATAAATCTTACTTTGTCATATACTTTTTCTTTTAATATATTACTGAACTCCATTTGCCAATATTTAGTTAGAAATTATTGCATTTATGTTTATAAGTGAAACTGGCCCAGTTTTCTTCTTCAAATGATGCTGGCTTGATGACAAGATTCATTTTCCACAACAGGTTAAATAATATTAGAGTATTCTCTGCACTATAACAGACATAAAATTTAGCTGAAATTCATCTGATCCTAGTAGCATTGGTCCCTGGTGGTTTTTTCTGTCTCATTCTACCCACAAAACAAAATGATACAGAAATTTGACTATGGTTTTAATGAATATCTCCTGGGACAGCATTCACTCATCTTTTAGGAAGATACAAGAGTTTCAAGCCTGTTTGTTGTTGTTGTTTTTGAGACAGAGGCTCACTCTGTCTCCCAGGCTGGAGTACAGTGGTGTGATCTCAGCTCACTGCAACCTCCGCCTCCTGGAGCAATTTTCCTGTCTCAGTCTCCCAAGTAGCTGGGACTACAGGCGCACACCACCACAACCAGCTAATTTTTGTATTTTTAGTAGATACGAGGTTTCACCATGTTGGCCAGGCTGGTCTCAAACTCCTAATCTCAGGTGATCCACCTGCCTCGTCCTCCCTAAGTGCTGGGATTACAGGCATGAGCCAACATGCCCAGACTCAAGCCTATTTTTATGCTATTAACTTGTTATGAGAATTAGTTTGAGAAACAAGGTCTTGCTACTTTAGCTGGCTAGTGAAATCAAACAAAGAGTAAATTTAGAAGAAAAAGCAGGAGAGAAATACTGCTTCAAGAATATGACAGGGGAGAACCCAGCCCAGAGGAGGAGGATTACCAGCAAATGCCTTCCTAATCACAAATGTTCTCTTGCAGGGGGTCTCTAGAATGATCCTAGACTGAAAAAATTGCTAAATAGGGCATGATTGCAGCAAGAATGGCCACACTGGAATATGGATTAAGATAATTAGGTAACAGTATTCAATCCATGTTAAATGTTTCAGATTTGATCATTATTCTTTGGTTACATAAGAGGAAGACCTTGCTAGTATTGACTGAAGTATTAAACAGTAAAGGGGCATGATGTTTGTAATACTCTGCTAGGTCAGAAATAAAGGCATTCACCTGTGTGTGCATGAGTGTAGGCAAGTATGCATGTCTGCAATATGGAGAAAGAGAATGCAATTGGGGAAAAATGCTAATAAATGTTGGATGAAGGGCAAATAGCAGTTCTTTGTACCTTTTTTGTAACTTTTCTCTAAACTTCTATTTATACAAATGTCACCAAAACAATTTCCATGGGGGCAAATCTCCATGTTCCTAAAAGGTTTGGCCCCTTCAGTATGAGCAAGTCTGGAGGCCAGGGGCGCTTTTGGGTTCACTTGGCAATGCCTTGACCATTCCATTCAAACTGCCGGAACTCACCAGAAGCCTACCTCAATGCCTGGTAACCTAAGCCCCTTCACCCTGAAATACACTTTTTTTTTTTTTTTTTTTTGAGATGGAGTCTTGCTTTGTCACCCAGGCTGGAGTGCAGTGGTGCAATCTTGGCTCGCTGTAACCTCCACCTCCTGGGTTCAAGCAATTCTTCTGCCTCAGCCTCCTGAGTAGTTGGGACTACAGGTGCGCACCACAACTCCCAACTAATTTTTGTATTTTTAGTCGAGATGGGGTTTCACCATGTTGGCCAGGATGGTCTCGATCTCTTGACCTCATGATCCGCCTCGATTTCCCAAAGTGTTAGGATTACAGGCGTGAGCTACCACGCTCGGCCGAAATATACTTTTCTTTCACAGTGTACTCTCTCTATAGTTTGGGGGGCAGAAAGACTGCATAGAATATATTTCCAACTGTAAGGATGTGCATAACAATAACTAGAAAAGTTGGCGGCTCATGCCTGTAATCCTACCACTTTGGGAGGCAAAGGTGGGAGGAATGCTTGAGCCCAGGAGTTTGAGACCATCCTTGGCAATATAGCGAGTCGCTGTTTCCACAATAAAAATTTTTTTTTAGCTGGATGTAGTGGCACTTGCTTATGGTCCCAGCTATGAAGGAGGCTGAGGTGGGAGGATTGCTTGAGCCAAGGAGGTCAAGTCTAGAGTGAGCAGCAATGGTGCCACTGCACTCCAACCTGAGTGACAAAGGAAGACCCGGTCTCAGAAGAAAGAAGAAGGAGAGAGAGAGAGAGAGAGAGAGAGAGAGAGAGAGAGAGCGAGCGCAAGAGAGAGAGAGAGAGAGAAAGGAAAAATTGCAATATCTCTGAGATATTCTTTGTTAATCTCGGGTGGTGCTCAGGAATCTGCAGTTTTCAAATAAACCCTGGTTATTTTCTTGCAAATAGTCTGTGGGCCTTATTTAGACCAACACTGCCCTCTAGCCTGTCAGCATCTTACGCATAGTAGGCACTCAATAAAATCTGCTGGGTTAATTTGAATTGGCCAAGACTGCATGGAGCTAAAATAAGAATCCCTCATGCCCTAAGCATGGAAATCGGTCTAAAATCCAGACATGCTAGAAGCAGGTGATATATATATATATACACACACACACGTACCTGTTCTTGGCTCTACAACAGAATTTCCTGGGTCTCAGTATTTTGTTTATATCATAGGGATGTGACATGTGCTTGTGTGAAGTGTCAACTCTATGACACCTGACCCTTTCATGCAGTGAATAATCATTTGGCATTCTGCATATTTCCCCCAAATAATTGCATAACTTTAACCTACTCAAAATAGTCTCAGGTCCTGCAGAGTTAGCACCTCTGGTCTCCCCTTAGAACACAAAGGGAAGGCCCTGGAACCCCTATCCATGGGTAGGTGATCACAGTCTTTCTAGCACAGGAGAGGAACAGACATCAATTCTGTCTTGTTCTTACCACTCCTTATCCTTGTCTTTTAGGGCATCAGTATCAGTAAGAAATGTGCTAGCACGCTTTGCAGCAAGTTAACGTAGTTACTGACTCATCAACACAATTTAAACTCAAGATCCAGACGCAGTCCTCCTTGGAGGTGTCAGAATCCACACATCTGACCCTTTTAATCTGCAAGCTACCCAGGACCTGCGCAAACTACTGCATTCAGCATTTAACACCAGCCCCTGAGCACTGAGGTTATTCAATAAAGGGGGTTGAAAGCACAGGAGACTTAAATATCTAGCCACCAATGGATATGCACACTAAATATTTACAGCACCGCAAGTTTTATTATTGTATGTCTGGTAAGTTCCGTTTATATCTATCTATGATGGCTGCTTCAGAATGCAAATTCCCACAGAGCAGAGTTTGGGTACAAGACAAGTGAGAGAAAAATTCAAAGAGTGGGCCATTCTAGGGTCTCTAGAACGCTCAGCTACAAGCCCCTTAGTTCTTCCTGCCAGCAAAACAAAAAGCAAGAAAGCTAAGCAGCTACTGAGTCATTTTAGCTAGAGTTTATATTTATTTCTAGCTTCTGAATTCATCAGAGTAATAAAAGCAATAAAAAAGGAACTTGAAAATCATAAAAAATACCAGATGAGCTGATTACCATCCTTCGTGGTACGTGGAAGTCGGAATTCATTATTTTAGCTCTAGCTGCAGAAGAAAATGTTCTTCCACAAGGACAGAGACCCTTTCAGGAAGGACAGAAGGGGCACCAGATCACACACTGTATATTTGTATCTATGTTTAAGAATTGAGAACAAAAATAATGAAGTGGAATGAGTTCAGATGTAGTTCTGAAATTTTTACTTGAGCTAAAAACACGAAAATGTTGCACAGGCATTCGGTAAGGGGGTAACAAGGGTCTATTATCAAGATATATGGGTTAATAATTTCACGGGGTTATTCAAGAATGATCTGCTATGATTGAAACCATGTGTGGAGAGTTTGGGCTTCTGCAGGATGTTTCACAGCAACAAAGGGCCCAAAGATGTATTCGTGCTGCCTGCTAAGTACACAGATGATTGACTTAGATACACTTCCCAGACATAAACAGTGAAGGAATGCCACTGAAGTTCTGCATGCTATCAGATAGAGATGAAGAATGCTTACCACATTGTACAGGCCGATGCACCAACGTTCAAATAAAATCTGCCCAGAAAATCCATTAACAAAGGCGAACCAAAGCTGAAAGAGAAGAAAGTTCATGAAGTTTTATATCAATATTGACCTACATGTTTCCATTCACTGAAGAAGTCGCGGGAATGTGGACCACCAGCTGGACACAGCTGCTAAGGAATCAGGAGCCACAGGACTGCAGCAGTTCTTCTTTCATGAAACACAGACTCCCGATATCACAGACACCCAGATTGTAAGGAAATTTTATATTTAAGGCATACATCTATTTTAAGAGATAATATGCCTATGTTCATCGAAAAATACTTTGTATTTAATTTGTATTTAATACGTTTGGTGTCAAAACTTTCTCATGGACTGGAGGAGCCTCGACTTCACATTCCTGTTTTTCTCTAAAGTTGATTTGAGAAATACAATTTGTCTTTGTAGGACTTTCAAACAGATATAAATCATGAATAAAAAAACAACAACAGAAACTCCTCTGTTGGTCATGTGGGTTCTGAGTTCATGAAATATTGACTCTCCTTAATCAGATGTCTACCACCTTGGCCAAGGTCAAAACACAATAATATAAACGAAACATTCTCAAATCATTTTTTGAAGTAATGAGAGATATATGAATAAATAAACAAAATGTGGACTGTTATTCATGCCTTCAAGTAGTCTATGATTCTAACTGATTATGCAAGACAGAAAAACAACTACAGAGCCATGTGCCAGGCATAGTGACTTATGCCTGTAATCCCAGCACTTTGGGAGGCCAAGGTAGGAGGATCACTTGAGCCTAGGAGTTCAAGACTAGCCTGAGCAACACAGTGAGACCCCATCTCAACAAAAAATAAAAAATTAGCTAGGTGTGGTGATGTACGCCTCTGTAGTCCCAGCTACTTGAGAGGCTAAGGCAGCAGGATCCCTTGAGCCTAGGAGGTGGGCAGCTGCAATGAGCTCTGATTGTGTCACTATGCTCCAGCCCGGGTTATGGAGTGAGACTCTGTCTAAAAAAAAAAAAAAAAAAAAAGCATACACACAGTGAAACTATGAGTAGCTTTAATTAAAACTACAAATAGTATTTAATAGATACAAATAAATATGATCAGATTAGGTCAAATCAAGGGAGAATGTCCACAGCAGACAGAACCTACAAATTAAACCAAGTAAAAAAAGTTTTCAAAGAAATAGTGAAACAATACAAGAAACCAACTCTTATTTAAACGATGAAATATAGAGGTTGGGGTAAGCAGTGGCAGAGGTTGAATACTGGATCAATTCAACACAGCATGCAAATTGAAGCTGAAGAGCAAATGCTCTTTCTCTCTTTGTTTTCCAAGAATCGAGCAGGGAGAACAGCAGAGCACCATAGATAGTATAAATGACAATCAACTTGGCAGATGCTGATCAAGTTCAAGGTGAACTGAAAAGAAAAAAAAATGCAGAATAATCCAACAGAAACCTATGACACACAGAAATGTCCTGTGAGGCACACAGGCCTCCTTTCCCAAGGGAAAGAAACAACAGCAATGGAGGTGCTTATGATTGCAAAGTGATAGGAGAGCAGAGTACAAGGTGCTCAAAGATAACTTGGAATCCCCTTTCCCTAGACATCTTCCAAAAATATTACAGAGAAAACAAGAGGACGTGACAAATACACATGAAATAATCTTCCCAGGAGAACAAGGGCCACTCTGCAGAAGAAAATCTCAAACATTCTTGGTGAGACTAAAAGAGCTAAAGAAAATGTGAATTTTCTTTGCATCAAGAGTTACGATAAGATGTCTAATATAGCAAAGAAAGAGACAAATAGGAAGAGGTGAGTGTTACAAACTGAAGCCACCTAAAGAGAAACACGAAAGCTGGAATTGACACTGCTGGCCGGGCGCAGTAGCTCATGACTATAATCCCAGCACTTTGGGAGGCTGAGGCAGATGAATCACCTGAGGTCAGGAGTTTGAGACCAGCCTGGTCCAACATGGTGAAACCCTGTGTCTATAAAAAATACAAAAATTAGTCAGACGTGGTGGCGCATGCCTGTAATCCTAGGTCCTTGGAAGGCTGAGGCAGGAGAATCGCTTGAATTTGGGAGGCGGAGGTTGCAGTGAGCTGAGATTGTGCCACTGCACTCTAGCCTGGGCGATAGGGCAAAACTCTGTCTCAAAAAAAAAAGAATTGACACTGCTAAAACCACATATAGTGATATAGAGATAGGTGGTGAAACCTGAGAAAACAATTCTCAGCAAAGGTCAAAAGTTAATAAAGATTTTTGAGAGAAATGGATAGAGTTAGAAGCCTTTAAAGATAACAAAAAAAATTTCAAAAAGATGTACTTAAAAAAAAGAGGAAAATAGAATTTAAAAAGACATGTTCAAAGATATAACAGAAGAAAATTTTCTGAAATACTCTAATTAGCCAATAGAGAGGAGATCCTTTGTCCTAAGAAACAAAACAAGCAGTAGACACAGAGAGATCAATACCCACATATGTACTGCTACAGGAATTAATTAGTTTTAAGATATTATAGGATCAATTCTTCAGTATATTCAGACAGGAAAAGCAGCAAAGAGAAAAAAATCAAGGAGGCTTCCTATTTCTCTCTAGCAGTACACAATACCAGAAGAGTAGAAGATGTTTACATTTTCCCTACACATAGGGAAATAAAGTGTAATAGGAATTTTAGTAAAAGATAGAAATCCAAGGAAACATCAAAAGCTGAAAACTAACAAAAAATATGACAAAAATAATATTAAATTGTGTGTTATATTAATAATAAAAAATAAAAACTCAGAGAGATAAAAAAATAAAATCCAAAACATATGCTACATAATGAGAAACATGTAAAATAAACATAAAAAAGACACTGTCTTCAAAAAAGATCAAATTCTTAGCTTGAATTTACAAAGCCCAACACAATCAGGCCCCCACCTATCTTTCTAACAACACTCTATCTCCTCCAGTCAGCTGCAATGGCCTTCTGTTGAATCCCTGCACCAAGTACAGATCCAGCTTTATTATTTTGCACCTCAATATCAGCAATTATGTCAACAGCATTTGTTTAATGTCAACTTTATCCCACTTGTTTGAAATGTCCCTTATCACATGATAAATTACCATAGTATTTGGAAAAGAATATGTGATATTTCAGTCTCTATATACTCAAAGGAATTTCAGATGCCTTGAATATTTAAGCACAAACAAAACTCTGAAAGCTTTAGAAGAAAACATGAAAAATATTATTTTGCTGTAGGTGAAAAGTGACTTTCTGTAAAACACTGAACTTAGAACGGATGGATAAATTTGAAACTAATTTCTATAGAGAAAAATATTTAAAAAGTTGAAAGAAAACTGATACTAAATAAGTAGTACAAGCATATTTGGAATATCTATGAAAACAAAGGTTTATTTCTTCAATATATAAAGAGTTCTTACAACTCAAAAAGAAAACACCCTATGAGCTGCTAGAAAAATGGGCAAAGAGTATATGCAATGTGATCCTAGGGGGAAAAAGGATTAGAAACATAGGAAATCTTGTTTTAATTAAACATGTAAACAAATGTATATAATTTTTTTCTTATCAGATAGGTAAAAATATAAAAGTTTGGTAAACTGGGGAATAACACTGTAATACCCAGCTGGTAATGTAGCATTGTCTATAAATATGTTTAATTCAGTTTTCCTTTGAACAAGTGATTCCACTTGTAGGGACATACTCTAAATTACATCTCATCAATGTAATCACATACTATTCAACACAAAAATATAATGATATGGCATTATTTGGAAAACAATGCCACACCCTTATATACAGAAAACAAAAAATTAGAACTTGCATGTATATTGATAGCTGGTTAAAGAAATTATGGCGCATCCTGTAATAAACTCTATGTAATTTTAAAAAGATTTAATTTTAAATATAAGTCCACATGTACTACAATACAAGAATCTCACAGATACATTATGAAAATGAAAAAATAAGGGTAGTATTGAATGGCCATGACTGTGCAGGACAGGTGTACATACTCGTATATGCATGGCAACATAAGAGATCATTAATATTCATCAGCTTTAGGTGGAAGAAGTGTTCTCTGTGGGGAAGAGGGGCACTTGCTTACACCTTTTCTACTGTTTTGAACTTTTAAAACACATTCATGTTTTATTTATATAACTGTTTCAAGCAGTAATTCTCAACTAGGGCTGATTTTGCCTCTGAGGAGACACCTGACAATATCTGGAAATTTGTATTGTCACACCCTGTGGGAGGGACCTACTGGCACTGAATGGGCCTAAGATGCTGCTAACCATCCTACAAGGCCTGGAAGAGCTCTCGACAGCAAAAAAATTATATAGTCCAAAATGTCAATGTTGCCACTGTTGAGAAACCCTGGATTATTGAGAAATCCTGGATTAAAGAAATAAGTTTATCTGGTCAACCTGATAGAAACTTAGAAATCTTGCTTGTATCAGATGTTTGTTACCAACAAAATAATAACATGTGGCTGGTTGCATGAAGCCATGATTCTGCTTGTATGTATGGGGGCTCGGGTTTAGAAAGCTTTACTCCCTTTAGAATAAAAACAGATATGAATCTGTTACCTTCACAAACTTGGAACCTGAAAACAAACATATAACTTTATAAATTATTAATGAGAAATTATTTTAAAGACTGAGTAAATTCAGTATAACGAAAGCACCCAAGTTGTTGAAAACATACAAGGGGGTAAAAATCTTAAGAAATCTGGTGTCTCTTTCTGTGAACTGACCTTGTTGACATTAACATGCTCCAAGCAATACTGAGCCATGTAAAAAGTTTCATTCTTCATTTCATTTAACATTGTTGATTAGCTGATTGTTGGAAGATTTTCTCTAAGCAGCCAGTGTTCTGACACTGTCCAAGTTGGCACTGGATTGGCCACATGTTTCTTCAAAAACTTTTGACATGTTTGTACTAATTTTTATCAGTTGCAGGTGCTACAGCTTTTTGAGAAGTATAAACAAACTTATCCTCAACATTTTCAAAGCAATTTCAATCTGCATTCAAATAATATATCATTAGATGATTG